TCTATTTTCAGTCGTTTCACAATGCCAGAGGTGCTTCCAATCTTGATAAGGCTAATCCTTTGTCACAGACCTTCTATGCATGCACCACTTCTTTCACCACTTCAGTATATGTTACCTTGGTATCACCCTTCCAATCAATTACTTCCCAAGTTGGATGTGAAGATGTTAGTACTGCCCTGTCTCTGGAGGACTTATATGCGCAATACTTCATGTAATAGAACCTTCTGTGACGCCACTATCACCCGTAGTGCCTGCTCTCTGCAAAGTCAGTCTTCTTCCGGGAATTCCTTTTTCCGTCATGTACTGCACTTGGACTTAACCACAGAGCTTTGTGTTCAATTACTGGCTCCTTATAGGTTACAGAGACTAAAATCTTTTGGATTTTGCCTCCAGCTGGACTTGAACTGTTGACCTTGACTGTGGAGGTATAGGAGCTTAACAATTAAGCTATGAGACTCACACCATGTCTAGATTTATTTATAAAAAATTAAAATATATTATTTTAATAAAATTTTGAGTAATTTTAATTTAAAAAAATGTTCAAAAGTGTCCATATGACAATACTGCTTTTGGTGTCTAATTTTTTTTTTTTTTTTTTTATAGTTAAAGTCTCTATATTGAAGATACAAGCTTTTATTCAAGTATATTAGAACACAGCATGCTATCAGAGGCTTACCTTATATTAAAGGTTACAACTAGCCATATATGCACTTTTAGTACCTAATTTAAGTAGTTAACTTACACATTGCTATATAAGTTCTACACTAGTTGCCATACTTGCAAGCCAACTAGGAGTCTTGTCTATTTAAACTCTTTGCATATGCAATCCTTCTTATATCATAAGAACATTTCAAAGCTATACCTATCCAAGTTCTTGATTCTTGTTGTTATTCTTAGGACTAGTTTATCCTCAACAGAAAACTTACTAGAGCCTTTTTGTTCTACACATATAAATCTAGTTTTATGCAATATGCTATGGTTATCTAACACTTGCAGTTATAGAGATTATCTGTTTAACTACTATATTATACTATTTTTATCCTTGTAAAGTTCACTAGAATCCCAGTACCTATCTTTCTGACATCTTCTTCATCATTCTTTACTAGCTACAACTTAGAACCATCAGTCTTATTCCAAACTACCAATCCAAATGGCCTGGTATGATATATTCTGTATTTTTTTCTTTTAGTAAATCTGGTAGCCTGGTTAGTTATGTGTTTTTCTACATATATTTGATATCTAGTTTTAACCTTCAGTTTCTATAAAGATGTTTTGTGGACTTCAACTGGTTTGATAGTATTATCAAAAGTTCATGCTACATCTTTACTCAGGAATTTCTAAGTAGGTTTCTGTTATCTTGGTTCTTTAATCTTCTATGTCTAATGGTCTTATCATGGATTTGCACTGAAGTCTTATATAACACTGGTTATACATTTCTCTATATACATATAACATTATATTTCGCATTGATGCTCAAGCTCCTAATGTTAATAGGACCTAACTTGGTGTACCTAGGTAATAGCCATATGAGGCCAACTGATCAATAAGAAACAGTTACCATAATACAAATATAATTTTCAAATTTCGTTGTTAGTAAGATTTAAACCTTAGACCTGCCACTTAAAGGATAACAACCCAACCACTATACTAGGATCACTATCTTCTCTTTTGGTGTCTAATTTAAGTAATTTGTTTACATATTGCTATATAAGTTCTATATTAGTTGCTATATTTGTAAGTCATTTAAAGGTTTTGCTTATTTAAATTCACTGTATATGCAATTCTTTTTATATTATAAGAACATCTTAAGACTACATCCATTCAAGTTCCCAATGCTGATCATTACCCTTAGAACTACTTTATTTTTAATAAGAAACTTACTAGAGCCTTTATGTCTCATATATATAAACCTAGTTTTATATAATATACTATAGTTATCTAATATTTGCAGTCATAGAGATTATCTATTAACTGCTATATTACATTATTTCTATTCTTGTAAAGTTTATTAGAACTTTAATATTTATTTTTCTAGTATCTTTATCATTACCTTCTACTAGACACAACTTAGAACTAATAGTCTCTTTCAGACTATCAATCTAGATGACCTTGTATGGTATATTTTTGTATCCTTTTCTTTTGGCAAATCTGGTGATCTGGTTAGTTATATGCTCTTTTACACATATTTGATATCTAGTTTAATCTTTAGTTTTTATAAAGGTATTTTATAAGCTTCAATTGATCTAATTGTACTATTGAAAATTCATGTTATCTTTTTATTCAGAAATTTACAAGTGGGTTTTTGTTACTTTAGTTCTTTAGTTTTCTATATCTAGTGATCTTATTGTAGATTTGCACCAAGTCTTATGCAATACTGATTATATATTTTTCTATGTATGTATAATGTTACACTTTACATAAATGCTCTGAACTCCTAATATTAGTAGAACCTGACTTGATATACCTGGGTTACAGCCATATAAGGCCAACCAATCAACAGAAAACAGTAAGATTTGAACCTTAAATCGGCTATTTGAAGGATGACAACTCAACTATTATACTAGAATTACTATCATCTAATATTGAAACTTATTTATTATTATTTTTTTTTTATAGTTAAAATTCCTTTCTTGAGAATGCAATATTTTATTCAAGTTTTATTAAGAAACAGGTGCCTTCAGGAACTCCCTTACATTGAAGGTTATAACTAGTCACATATGCATTTTTGGTGCCTAATTTAAGTAGTCCACTTATATATTGCTATATAAGTTCTACACTAGTTGTCATACTTGTAAACCAACTAGGAGTCTTGCCTATTTAAACCTTCTGCATATGCAATCCTTCTTGTATTATGAGAACATCTTAAGATTACACTTATTCAAATTCCTGATACTTATCGTTACTCTTAGAACTACTTTATTTTTAATAGGAAATTTATTAGAACCTTTATATCCCACATATATAGACCTAGTTTTATATAACATACTATAGTTACCTAACATTTGCAATTATAAGGGTTACTTGTTTAACTACTATATTACACTATTTCTATTCTTGTAAAGTTCACTAAAACCCCAGCACCTATCTTTCTAGCATCTTCTTCATCATCTTCTTCATCATCTTCTACTAGTCACAACTTGGAATCGTTAGTCTTATTCCAGACTACCAATCCAGATAACCTGATATGATATATTTATGTATCTTTTTCCTTTAATGAATCTTACAGTCTGATTGGTTATATATTCTTCTACACATATTTGACATCCAGTTTTAATATTCAGTTCCTATAAAGGTGTTTTGTAAGCTTTAACTGGTCCAATAATACTATCAAAAGTTCATGTTACCTCTTTACTCAGAAATTTTTAAATAGATTTCTGTCATCTCAGTTTTTTTAATCTTTTATACCTGATGATCTTATCGTAGATTTGTATTGAAGTCTTATATAACACTGATTAATATTCCTCTATGTATGTGTAATATTACACTTCACATAAATGCCTGAACTCCCAATATCAAGAAAACCCAACTTGATGTATCTAAATAACAGTCATATAAGGCCAATTAATTGACAAGAAACAGTTATCATAATGCAAATATAATTTCAAAATTTCATCATAAGTGGGATTTGAACCTTAGACCTGCCACTTGAAGGATGACAACCCAACCACTATACTAGGATCGCCATCCTCAATATTGAAACTTATTATAAAAATATAAAAACCTTTTTATTATAAATTTTAAATAATTAAACAAGCAATATACTTTTACTTAAAGTAGCATAACAAGTTACACTTAAATACTGTTAGAATGGCCAAATGATGCTAAACATAAATATTAGGTGTTTTCAAAAGTAATTTCAAGAAAATACTAACGAAATTGCTTAAATTTAAAAAAAAAATTTGTTTGGTTTATCCAAATTATCTTTATATATAAGTGTAACTAGCCAATCAAATTTAATAAGGCGGGGTCTGCAGATTGCATGTTTTCAACCAATAAAATAGAACTTCGGTCAGAATCAAATGTGCTAGGAATTTTTATGGTTGGAACCAGTTTAGTTGCAAGAACTGTTCAACAGCCTGGATTTATACAATTAAAGCTTTCGTTACTTGAAGTTAGAACGAAAGCATTATTGAAGGAGAGTTAGAAGCTAAAGTACATTATCTATTTCTGTCTATTATTAAATTTTTTTATTTAGTCATTTTTCCAAAATGCTCCGTAGCAGAAATTCAGATACTGGCTTGAAAGTGTTATTTTCTATAATTTTTAGTATTTTTGCAAGCAATTTTATACAATTGTAAGGACGGATGCGAATATTGGTGGTGCATTATAAAATGCTACTTCTAGGCCTTGAATTGGATGTGACAAAACCAAAAATGAAAGTGGGTTTCTGAAGCTATCATTACTTGCGTGTGCATTAATTTTTGTCGATATTATAATTTCCACTGGCGAAAATAAAGTGAAAAATAAAATGTAAATTATATAATCAATGATTCGAAATTTCGAAGTGCTGGTAATGCTAAAATTGCAAAATGTGATTTTGCAGATCTGCAATAGTATGAGTTTAATTCGTATCGTATAACGATAATTGCACAAATTTCATCCAAACTTGAACAACCCTGATCCTCGTTTAACACTCGACTGTTTAATAAAATTAACGGCTTTTAAACGCGTGTACGCGATTGTTACTATATTTTTTAAAGGTGGAGCGGAATTAGTGGACAAATTTTGTATATTTTTTAATACAGTGCCTTATTTCAGTGGTAAGCTATTGGGCAATATCAAACTGTAATTCGTTTTAATGCACTTTACCGATTGCACATCATAACAATATCATCAAGGCACTTGTTCGAATTGTTTTCCTTAATACATTAGCAATACTTTATGTCTTTATAGAATTTTAAATAATATCTTATTTTCTTTTAGCTTCGAGCCAAAATGGGGGAGCAAGCAGATTTAAGCTCCACACCAGCAACAAGCCAAGTGCAGCCAGATCCGAAAAACATGCCGGAAACGGCTTTTGTAATCGCCTTTTGTGTCAAGTTCATGGAGGCTCTTAACAAAATTTATTTCTGGCCAGAAGTGAGTCAATTATTGACGGTTTGTCTTTTTCTTCCGTGTTCTGTGTTAGAATAATGACTTAAGTGGTATCTTTCTTTTTAACGATTAGGAGTTGGATGCTGCTTTAAGTAGCAATGAAGAAAATCCATTACTTGAAAAGTTACATCGTCTCTTTATGAGAAACTTGTTAAATTTAAAGGCTTTGCCTGAGTAAGTGCCAGGACTGCGTTGTGTGTAATTATGTCTATGTCACAGAACATTTTATTAATTTTTATTTATATATTTTATTCGCATTTATTCAAATTGTTCTAATCGTTAATTATTATAGAAGGAGACATTGGATGAAAAAGTTGTCCGAAATCATTTCGGATAAGATCGAAAATCAGGAAGATTTTTATCTTGATCACAACCCCTTGAAACGCGTGAATGACAATTATTATGCGCTCGGTGTCCGTGACAAGGTAGATACTAACTTTTATTCTAATAAATCGTAGATTGATGTAATGCTTTCTATTCTTTCTTCACAATGCCTTTATTTTAGGTAATGATTTTGCAGTACCTTGTCAGTTGGCAACTGGTAGGCTCTAATAAAATAAGAGAGCTTATACAAGAACAACACAAGGGAGTGTCAGAAGAGGAAATTAAACCATTGGAAGTAGAAGTCCTCGGTGAAGACACTAAAGAGTCGAAGTATTATTATCTTGGTAGTAAGTAAGCCACATTCAATAATAATCATATATTTATTTTTTCATAGTCCTTTACCTATTTCTTTTTTTTTTTTTTAGTTGGTGCTAGAATTTATCGTGAGACGCTGGTCCCCGAATCTGGAAATTCGTCTTTGTCACATATAAAATGGGAGGCTATATCAACTACAATCGATGATCTTAAAAATTTTGCGTCTGATCGTAATGAAATAGACCCAAGCAGATCCGAAAAAGAGAAATTATTGTATACGAAAATAGTTAACCAAGTTATCCCTTACCTCGAAGAAGTAGCAAAGGTAAATTATATATGAATCACTCCTTGCTGTGAAAATTTTGCATCCAGTGGAGTTTTTTTTTTTTTTTTGAACAGTATACTAATTATTATCGACGGTAGGACAAAGACCGTGAAGTGGAAGAAAAAAAGAGAAGGGCTACAGAAAGAGAAGCGCAAAAAGAAATTGAAAGGCTTAGACAGCTTAAAGCTATCGAGCAAATGCACAATAATGTTGAGATTTTACCTACAAGAACGCGTGTTAGGAGACCACAATCTACTCCACAATCTACTCCACAATCTATTTCTATCACCACGACGAATAATTCAAATATGGATTCGCATGATAACCAATCCGTCGTTAATACAACGAAAGATAGTTCCAATACAGTTAAAGCAGAACTTAAGGATAGCATGAGTTCATCTAAAGAAGATGGTGAGGATATATCAAGTACATCTGCTAAAGAAAGTAATCATGATACATTGAATAAATATAACAATGATATTATGGATAATCAGAGCACATATAGTAAGAGTAGCAAATCTGTTTCGAATAAACCTAGAAAAAATAATAAAGAAAAAACTAGTAAATCTAAGAAAAGCAGTAAAGATGGCTCAGATGAAACTAAAAAAAAGAACAGTGTCCGCAAAAATTCAAAATCGGCCAAAAAGTCTGCTCCAATCGATACGACAATAATCGAAAGTGTACCCACCGATTATGTTAAAAGTAGCGTAAATAGTTACGAAAATATGCAACCAGAAGACGCTCCTATAGGTAATTCGTCAGTGACTGAAAATGCAACATACGAACATCATGAACTTGGACCTCATAAACTTGGCAATATTGTTATACCTGAGAAAACAGCTTTTGCCAGTGATACTACAATTTCTTCATCAAGTCCAAGTAAAGCTGTAGTATGCATTGGAAATCAACCAATTGATAATGTTAAACCGAATGAACCACTTAAAACTGTAAGTAAGGGCCGTGGTCGCCCTAGAAAAGACAAAAATGCTGTTAGAGCTCCATATACAAAAGTAGGTAAAGGACGTGGGCGTCAAAAAAAATCCACTACCACTGATGCATCCGTAAGGGATGGTCAGGATTCAGGAATCAACAAGGGTGTTCCTGGGGAAATCACTTTTAGCATTTCAAATAGCGAAGGTGTTCAACCTTGGAACAATGCACCTCCAACCATCTTAAATAACACTATTTCAGCTACAATGATTAGTGATATTGTTACAAATACTAGTTCTGACACTAATGATAAACAATTTGGCTCCCCTTCCCAGAGTCTCAATATATCTGGATTTAGTCAGTCCCAGAACGTAACCGGTATTGCAAATCAAGTGAATGTTACTGTTCCTACCATTGATGACAATGGCACAAGATCCGGAGAAGTAGTTGATAGTTCACAAAATGTAAATCATTCTTCTAATGAAAACTCTATAACATCCGTCTTTAATGCACCGACCATTGAAACGATTGCCGACGAAGTTCGTTTAAAATCTTCAAAAATGACATTAGATAATCTCTTAACATACGAGCCTAATAGCGGGGCTTTGCATTCAGAATTTCTTTCTACTGGTAATCAAGCTTTTACACCAACAACAAATATTCCACAAAATAAGAGCACAACTGAAATTGATCATTCAGGACATCCTTTAATAACTAAAATTGCATCATTAATTACTCCAGTAGAAACTGATACTGAAACTACAAAATTAATGGTGAATAATTCAATTGATAATGTTGAACCAAATGAGCTGGAGGAACATAATGTTAATTCCGATTCGAATTTCTGGAGAACGTCTGTTGCATCTCTTCTTAATACTGAAAAAATTCGAGATAATAATGACGTTGGGTTGACGGTTTCAAACGGAAATACTGACCACTTATCAGTAACGAGATCCTCGATTAATTCAAATATTCAACCTAACAAATTGAGTATAGATACTAATATTGTTGATAAACGATCATCTAAAAGACATCAAACTCGTTCGACACGTCCTAATTCACAAGCTAGAATTGTTGAGTCGATTAACACCTCAAATGTCGACCCTAGTGGTCAATCTACTTCTGATAATAAAAAACGAAGACAACCTAGTGATGATCTTTGGTATGAACGGCCATTAACTCGTAATCAAGCAAAAGCAGCAGCTATGAATGACGTTAGATTAGTTGACGCAGTTAATGGAACGAAACGTAAAGAAGAAGATCGTCAACAAAATGACCATGAGTTGCCAGAACGCCCTAAAAAGAGAAAAAGGCGTTTTTTAACTGAAACAGAAATTGATGATTCGATCGGCATCTTTGTAGCTGTTGATTCAAAGGGCAACATAGATATAATTAATGACAAAGAAATTTTGTCTCAACCTCCTCCTGAGGGGGATACGGAGAAACACATATATTTTCAACCTGGTCCAGTTGGATTTCTTAAGCTCGATACGTCTTTAAAACATTCTTTCTTTCAAGAAGATGAAGTATTTGGTGAGACTGACAGTGAATTGTCAAGTTGTGGATCAGTTTCATCGATTGATACAGACTAAGTTGAATAAAATTAATACAAAGTTTTGTTTATTAATTAATATGTATTCTCTTTTTTTTTTTTTTTTTTTGATGTGAGTTTTAAAAATTTTTTTTTCTTATAAATATTTGTTTCTTATCTGTTTATTGATTATGCTCATTCACTACCATTAAGCAATATTTAGTTAAGCGCTGTCGTCGATTATTTTATGGTTAAGAGTAAGTTTACAATTAAGTATGAGAAGGTTTATTTCACTCTCATGTATATATTTAGATCAGTTGCTGTTGCAGTTTCGTTATATTACTTGGGGGCAATAGCATGTATATAAAACATTATAAATAAACATGCACGCATCAATTCAGTTAACATTCATGTACAATACTATTAACTATTCTCGATAACTCAATAAGTACTAAATAATATGTTCACATCCTTAAATGTAAGCTAAATCAAAAATTCCGAAGTGACTTTTTTACGTGAATATTACGATAAAGTGAGCAGCGGATAACCCAGCTGAGTCAAATTTTGAAACCTTTTTAAAGAAATTTTTGTTTTAATAACCGGGTGGGCTCTTAAAAACTTTTACAAAAATTTTATATAAAACTCAAAAAAAAAAAAGCCAAGTTCATTTAAAGTAAAGTTTTATGAAAACCAAGACTAATTTATATGACTAATAATGAAAAAAAAAAAACTTAAGATTTTGAAAGAGTAAAAACACAAAATTTGCTTATCATTTAAAAAAGTGTATAAGCTCGAAATAACTATTTTGCCTTTAAAGATAGCATATATAGGCTCTCTCAATGTGATTAATTAGTGATCGAGATTAGAACTTGGATCCGGTTATCCGTTGGATACAAATTTAATATGTGGCAAAATCCACCGGATATTCGTTAAATTTAATATGAAAACAGATGACCGGATCCAAGCTCTAATCTCATTGTGCAAAATACAGGTTCTAAATTTAAGCATATCAGAGTAACTCCGAGAAGAAAAATTCGACTAAGGAATCATCTTTGTGTATTAACAAAATTCCTTGCGCAATGATGCTGCTCACTAACCCTAACCCCAAACCCTAAAATGTCACATTTTCATATGTATACTTTTTATGCAAATTGCTTAGCAAACAAGTTTTATTACGTGTTGATTTTATATATATTAATATTAAACAACCAACTTGCTAACTAGCATCTTGCACTCGTGATTATTTAGTGTTTCCGCCTGTTTAAGAACGTTATACACCAAACACGTATTTTTAATTGTGTCGGTGTGCAACCATATACGACCATTCATCCCAACAGATACTTCATATGGAAGCTTTTGACCGAGTAATTTACATATCTCTGTTTCCTGGGTCAACAATCTAAAGAATAAAATAATCAATAACAAAATTAAAATAAATAATAAACTCGCAAAACATAACTGAAACTAAAATAAGCAAAAACAACCTTTGACAATATCTTAAAGAACATTTTAAGACCATTCCACCTTCTAATTTGCCAAACCCTTCAGTTTTACCATTCGTGGGGTTATAGCATTGAAGTTCCGGGTCCATATCTTTATTTGCTAAAGAAACTCTTGCGTATATTAAATCACCGATCTATTAAATGATGTAATAGATAAAGAGTTTTCTTTAAGAAAAAAAGAAAACGCGTAGTTAAAGTATGCGATAAGTTTAAACCTGAAAAAAAGCCCGTTTATATCTACATTTAAATTTGGTCTATTCTTTTTTGTGGCATTTTCAAAAGCTAAGAACGGTAAAATGGCTTGGTGTGCACTTCCAATGTCTACCCGATAAAATTCACTTCCTTTTCCGGAAATTCTACCAACTACACTTTCACCAGTCTCAGGAATATACTTAAACAGTAGCAGTTAAAAAAAAAGGAATCAGTACATGAAATAAAAATACTTTATATTTTAATATACGAAAATAAGAACATGAGAACTACTCTTTTCTGTTCATTCTCAACCCAATAAGTGGATCCCGAGCATACAAGAATACCTGCTTTTGTGCAAGTTATGAATTCACCAGCTTGCGTTAGACCTGGCCCAAGAGTAATTTCTGAAGTCATGACATCTAAAGAGACTGAATCTCCAGGTAGTACTACTTTAAGTCGCGTTCTTTCTGTAAGTTTGTTAGGTTTCATGATTTATAACAAGCACAGTAATAAATCTATAATTGCGATTTACCCAAAATAACCGATTTCTATCATGTAGATCTCGTGTAACATAGGCAATCAACGAAGTTATAACAATAACTACCCATCCGAGTTTGAGAAAATATTTTTTATTTTAACTCTACAAATTAATAGAATTAAAATAAGAGAAAATTCATCGTTCTTTGATGGGTAGTTATCGCTCAAATTTTAGACGTGGATCTTGTTTTGATTGCCTAAATTATTTTAAACTTTGGACAAGGGTATTCCGATAACTACCTATCCAAAATCGATGAAAATTTTATTTTAATTCTACAAATTCGCAAAATTAAAAAAAAATTTCATCGATTTTGGATGGGTATTATCAATATATCCTTAAAAAAACTCCAATAATTCTTGTCATGGCTAATGCTGAAATTTGGGTTAGAATTGATAGATAAAATATATATGTAGATTTTATATTTAGATCTCAAATTTTAGGCATCAATCAATTTTAGTATTAATCTGACAATTATTCATGATTAAAATTCGTGATTCGCCTGGGAACCAGTGAAAAAACATACGTAGTAAACTTTGGGGATATGTTTACTATGTAAATTTTACCTTTTTTGAAATCCAAAAGACAAGTCGATTTTCTACTAAGTAAATCTCTCTTTTACTTCTAATAAAAGTTGTAAAGAAGAGAATTCTGAACATAATGGTGGTTGAAACATTAAAATCATCCCAGTGAATCGTAAGATATGGGCGTTTTTGTCTTCGCGATTATATGTTTACTTTTTTCACATATAATCGTAAAAACAAAAACGCCTATATCTCGTGATCTACTGGGCCGAGATTAACTTTTTACTACCATTGTGCTCAGAATTCAGAAGTAGAAGAGATATTGACTTAGTAGAAAATCGTGTTGCCTTTTGGAAAACTTCAGATTCCAAAAAAGGCAAAAAACAATAGTAAATTTTCCCACGTTTTTTCACTGGTTCCCAGACGGATCACAAATTAAGTTTTTTTATACAATTCAATCCCAATCAGACACTACGTATTCATTGATAGATTTTTCTTTTCGTTTAATTGAATAAATGCAGACTCTCTCTTTCGCTCAATTGAAATAAATCGATCTCTTTGCTTACATTAAACTTTTAAATGCTTACAACCAGAAACTAAATTGGATTACGATTGGGAAAGTCTCCCTTGTCGTAACAACGCACGGGCAGTGTTGTACACGGACATAACTCATACAAAGGTCATAGGCAGAAGTTTGTCTGATTGACTAATAAATTCAATTTAATTTTACATTATTTATACAGTTTAGAGTACTTTTTTAAAAAATGAAAACTAATCATAATGAAAATCAAAAATAAGATCTAATTCTCGTCCGTTTAAAAAAATCAGCTTAGTAATAAGTTGATTTTATCGGGTTATGAGAAGTTATTGCTATACTAACTTGGCTATGAAGTCCTACAGCTCTAATGAAACCTTCTATATGGTTTTTTTTTTTATACTTTTTATGGTTGGTTTTCGTTCTTTTTTAAAAAAAGTACTCTAAATTGTATAAATAATGTAAAGTGAAATTAAATTTATTAGCTAATCAGACGAACTTCTACCTATGTACAGAAACTCATACAGGGGGATCCCCAAAATTCCGGGTTGGAATACCTCGGAATCATGATCGGTAGAGCCGGAATTAACTAATTTTGCCCAAGATCACTAAAAGGTTTACTCATTAAATACGGTAGGTGACATGTAAATTGGTATGTTACCGATCTAAAAAATTTCGTGCTATGTAGATTAGTGTTAGATTTTGCTATTAATTTAGGTTAGAAAGAATTTTTTTTAGTATCAAAATTTAGCAAGGAACGATTTTTTGGTTTGTTTTGATTTTTTGCGTTTCTTTTGCGTAATAACCTGATCTTGAAATATGATTGGCTAGCGAAATTTTTCAGGTTGGTAACAACAGGTGGAAATGTACCTAAAAAATAGAAACATGTTACACAATTCATTAAAGCCATAATTTATACATTTTAAAGTACTTTTTTATGAGACTTGTGTAGTCCATCCTCCTATGAAAAGTGAACTGGTGTTCTATGAAAACTTGAAGTTCTTTCATCAGCATATAAGAATATTTTATGAATCCCTTTGAATCCCACAACTTTTATTAGTATTAACTATGCCTAAAGATAAGCATTGTAAGGAATATCAAGTTATCGAATTTTCAAAATTCCATTTGTTAATTAGAGACAAATGGCAAGAACTCACAAATAAAGGTTTAGCAAAGACAACATGGGAGAAAGGCACTATTCTATGCAACAAATGTTATATGGATTTGGTTGAAAACCCATTAAGAAGAGGTAGTAAGCAAGTAAAAAGTGTAGACGATCTAGATAAAAAGGTAGGTATGTCTAACAAAAAGATTGAGCTCTTTGAAGCTATTAGATTGATAGCAAAAATTCTTTATGAAAAAGAACATATAAAAAAGCAAGATTCAATTTATATATTTAAAGAATTGCATGAATTATTAGAAAAAGATGAACTTAATCTTAAGTATTTTATTGAACAACTTTATTTAGCAACTAGACCGTCTACATGTAATGAACAAACAATGAACTGTATGAAGAGAATAATAGTGTTTATTTGTTATTTACTTGTTTCTTTGAATAACATTAAAATTAATTCTTTTAAGTTTGATATTGCATATTACTTAGATTCAGTGGAAGTAACTAAAGAAGGTTTGAATACGATGACGAATTTTGGCGTGATTACAACATTGCAGGCAGTAGGTCAACAGAAGAGAAAAATGTCAGATGCACATGAAAAATATATGAAGGTTGTATTTTTTTAGCAATCAGGAAATGCACTTGTTTTAAATATTGACGACTATCATAATATCCATGTTCTACAGCAGTCTAACAGTACAATTACTTCTAAACCAACATATATGGCAACAATTTTGATAAACCCATGCTTAATACTGTCAATAGCATGTAATAGAATAGTTAATCCAAGGTTCATAGATAGTAATTTGATTATTAAGCACCTTGATGAATGGTTTATTGTAAATCTAGGTGTTTCATATCATAATTGTATACGAAACAGAGAACAAGCATATACTGATGAAGAAATGTTAGATAAACTAACAGTACACAGTTATGACAATAGGCTTACAGAGAAAAAAAGTAATCATCATATATACAACTCTATTCTTGTTGATTTCATAAAAAAAAAATTAAAAAACGTAGAAGAATATGTCAGTATTCTACGAATTGTATCTGACCAAGAGCCAATACGAATCTATCTTTCTGATTATGCAGTTCCCATTGTCACAGATTGGCCTGGGCAATATTTTATCTGTAAAGCTATTGCACAACAGCTTCTTCTCAACAATGAATACATTTCTCAGTTTCTTATATTATTTTTGCCTATTATAGGGCCTCTTTATATGTTTTTAAATACTCACAAACTTGTTTTTCTAAAAAATTCTTTTTTTTTGATAAGATTTACAAAAGCATATTTGGGACAAAAAAGAAACTTGGTCAGAAGCCATGACCATGAAAAATTAATTTAATTCTCTATTTAGTATGCTTAGTATGGTCCAATATCACTAACATAGTTTATTCAAAATTTGGTTGCACATGCAAAGCCATAGAATTCTTATATCTTACTGACTTATTAAGCAATTTAATTCCCTTAGCTCTTGACATCTATGCCATACACTATCGAAATGAAGATTGACCATTGTATGAGGAAGCATGCATGCATTGTTGGAATGACTTTTTTCTACGATTTAATCAAAGAAATTATAAGCATGCTCTCTTAATGTTTTTTTTAGATATTTTTTATTGGATGGAGATTGGTCATCCAATAATGAATATGTTTACTAATCATTTAGCTTCTCTTAGTGATAGTCCAGTTGAAATCATCCACAGTATTATTCGAAGACATACTGTAAAGTTTCTTATAGTAGAGTAATTGCGAAAAGAGGCATACTTCATTTTCCAGCAATGATATGATAATTCTTTTTAGCAAAATTTTGTATACTACGTCAAGTATCTGTATACGCCAAAACAGTTAGATATGCTTTTTCAAAAATGTTCTATAAATCTTTTAGAAATATTTGTGAAAGTGTATCAGAATCATAACAAATATTCTGTCATTAAATCCACAAGCGATGATGGTATTAATATATACAAACCACTTTCACTAGGTTATGATATAATGGATCAGCATCTTCCAAAGGGTTTTGTTATTTCTAAAAAACCCAATATATCCTTTTTATGTGACTCGTTACATTACAATAGGGTCTTTGATTTGTATAATAGTACTATTTTGGCATGTAGGCATGGTTACCATAACCATTGCTTACAAAAATCACATTTTAAGTGTTTTATTTGCTTAGATTATCTTCAAGATGAAATCAAGAAAAATGTCGATGTGCTAATAGTAAGTATGACTAAGGAAATAGTTGATGCTGAAATACTTGACGATAGGGATAAGAACAATGATGATGATATGGATAATATAGATGAAATAATAGGCAATAGGGTTGATGTAGAAGAGTTATTGAAATATGTAAAATCGACATTTTTGAATTTGCAATAAATAAAATATTTGAATTAAAATTATTTCATTATGTCTTAATTATGATCAAATTATGATAGAGCCGGATTTCATATTTTATTACTATATATTACAGTATTATAAAATACTAAAAGATTATTGGTCGACATTGAGTATGCGAAATGTCGATCACGCATGTGGTTTGTGTAACATTAACGTTTCCACCTGTTGTTGGTAACGCGCAATCCAATCCATTGATTGAAGCGCTTGAGAAAGTAGAGCAACCAAAATTCAGCAGATTGACCAAACTTTAGGGTCGGAGTTAGGCTGGCACTAGCAATAATGCAAGACAACTAACTATACTACAGCAAAATTATCATTTTGACAGCTTTACTTAGTACGTGGGCTACCATTTCATTAATAAAATTTTGTGATTTTGGAGAAAATTATCAATTCTAGCCTACTCCCGACCCTAAATTTTGGTCGATCTGCTGAATTTTGGCTGCTATCCTGACATACATTACAGCATTAAACTATCTATATAGTAGTCAATTATATTCTTTCTTTATAACTAGTCTATTCCTTTTAATTATCAATCTAAAAACTTTGGAAAAAGATCTTTTTTTGAATCATAAAATTTACTCTTTTTTCAATAAGGAAAATTCTATTTCACTCGAGTTAAAGTCACCCAAATATATAACTAATATTATTAATTTTAGTTACATAAATGATATAGTTTATTGGGCATCTTTAACCCGGGTGAAAATAGAATAATTGTTCAGAACTTTTAGTTTTATTTTATCTTTTTTTTTAGCATGTCCATAACCTGAAAACCCCAACAAAATACAGTTTTTTTCGAAGTATATAAGCTATCCACTATGTAGCCAAGCTGTTGATGGTTCGCCTGAACCGTTCTGAAAGCAAAATTAAGATCGGGTATGTAATATTGAGAATTTTGTTTTTTTAACACTATATAGTAATACAGTATTTTATTTAATAAAGCATACTAGTGGTGTTCAACACCACACTTGCTATATTCCAAACACTAAGCAATTAAAGCTGCATGTTGCCTCTATATCTATCTTAGCCTATAAATGTACTCTACGTAACAAATTCTCATAGTAAACATTACTGGTATTTAATGAATTTATTCACTTAAAAGTTATTAACTCCGATTAGATACTTAAAAAATAATCTTGTATGAATAGTAGTTAAATGTATATTAAACAAGATACTTCATACTAGAGTTGTGACTCGAAACTATATATAAAATCCCGAAACCCGAAACCTTTTCTGAAACTCTAATACTATGTTGAAATTTTAATTTTAGACCTTAATCCATAAAGTACATGATAATTGGATTGCATTTCAGAAATGTTTTGATTATTTTATAGTAAATGTGCATTAGTTATGACATTCTAATTTGAAGGTTTCGGAAAGGTTTCGGGTCACAACTCTAGTTCATACAAAAAATATTGTGTGCATTTAATCTATTTAAACTACAGTAGCTCTATTAACAGATTACATTTAAGAAATTATTCGAGTTATAGTTAATTAAAAGACTTATATATGTTTCAATTGCATAAAAAAAAAATAAAGTTAAATCTTTATATCATCTTTATATTAGCTTTTTTTTTAAGAAAAAAGTCTAACTAGTTAATTTGATAAAGCTTATTTCGAAGGGCAAAGTTATCGAAATGTTGTTCTTTAAAAAGCAGTTAGAAATTTAAATATTATCTAACAAAAAAGGAGAAATAAGAATCTAAAGAATTAAATATTTAATTATCAAAGAAAAAAAAGATGAATAAATAAATACATGCTGTAATTTTGTGAAACAATTTTGCTAAAACAATAAAACAATTAACTTTGCAACATTATGTGAATGACGATAAAATCACAATAGATTGGTAGTTTTATCAGTTTGTTCAGTAATGTTCATATAAAACAGTATTTTTTATTAAAATTACACATCACCTCCCCATTATTAGATTATCACATATATCAAATCTAAAGAATACCATCGACAACCTCACATCTGCTATGCTTAATCTAACGTGCATACATAATGTGACAAATAAGCAAAAATATTGTCCAATGATTCCTTCTATATTTCTTGTTCATTTTTTAGATAATTCAATCAAGTTTTTTACCACATTAACAGTTATTATAAATTAATAAAAAGTTTTAAATCTATGTATATAGTCACATCTAAATATTATAACCTCATAAAGTATATATGTTAACTCTCTTAAAAATCTTAAAATACTTTTTTTTTTAAGTGATAAAAGTACTATACATTTAATAAAAATGTGTGTCTTGATTAATAAATTGGCTTAAACACATTTACGTTTGATATCCTCCAAAGTGAGTAGTGTATGAAGCACTAGGAACTAGCTATTTGACTAACAATCCAATCCAGCCCTTCAAATAATCTATATAAATTCATAATAATGAGTAAAGAGAATTAATTAATGTCTATATGGCATAGAAATGATTACGTCATTCTTTATTAACTCACCCTTCACCGGTCAATGCACAGCAAGCCTATAAATAAATGAATATTAATTTAGCATATTGAAAAGAAAAAAAGGAAAATATCTGTTATTATAGATGTGCGGTCAAATGATTTGGATGCATTATAATCTATTATTCCAAAACTTCTGATGCTTTTTAATAAGTACCTGGATATGCCATTGTCTATCCCGCATACTTGTCAAATTCAATGCCTCGGAAATTTGTGCTGCTGTTAATGCACCTTTCATGTCTTGTTTGTTGGCAAATACAAGTAATACAGCATTTTTAAGATTCTTTATTTTTGACAAAAATATTTATCATTAATAAATAAAATTGCAAATTTGAATATGATTATCTCGTTAACGTACCTCATCTTCCATCATTGTATGTAATTCTACCCTAGATATATGTAATCGATCCCTATCTGTGCTATCAATGACCATGATGACAGCTTTTGTTTTTATATAATATGTTTTCCATGTTGTGCGTAACGAGTCTTGACCTCCAAGATCCTGATATTTAAAATGGGTCAATTAGATGAAACACGCGTTTCATAGTTATTGAATGAATAAAATACAAAAAAAAAATTTTTTTAATAGAAAATCAATCGAAAAAGATATACTTGCCCACATTAAAAAGTGTATATTTTTATAGACTATTTCCTATGAAATAAAAAAAAGACACACAAATTTATCTATACACTCTGATCCAATAAAAAATTTTTAATAAAAAAATGTTGAATATACCTCCACGTTGCTTCCTATAGTAGGTGTTGTAACAACTACTTCATTCAATAACCTATTTTAAAGAGTTGAAATGTCGTTAAACATATGAAAAAGTTAACGATAAATCTTTAATAAAATTCTTACAATTTATATAAAACGGTAGTTTTTCCCGCATTATCCAACCCAACGAGCACAATTTTTACTTCCTCTTTGTTGGTAAGCTTGCGCCACAGTTTCGCAAGTATAATCCCCATTATCGTTATTCAGCAAAAACGTGTTTTTTTTTCTTTTTTTTTGCGGTTTAATATATTGCACAAAATCTGGAGATTAAATAATATATACAAGTGATAGGTAATTAACCAAGGAATATTTAATTCTCGAGGTCCGACATTAAATAATTATTTGCTACATGCAGATCAAATCTGATTGGTTGTCTAATTTTAGTTTTTAGTATATATTGACAAAATTTTTATTCTTTTTTTTTTTCCTCCTACTCGTAAATCTATATCTGCGGTGTGTATTAAATTTCATCCATCCATCAAATTGACAAAGAAGTCCTAGAGATTAGATATTAGATAATAATTTACTGCTTAACCTCTAATCATGATCAGACTTGTCTTTAAGCTTCCAATAAGGGGATCCCCTTGTACACGTGAATAATTTTTGAAAAAAGTTCAAGATGTCAAAGGGAGACGGTCGCGCCAAAAAAGCCGAATATTTCGAAAAGCTCAAAAATTTATTGGAAGAATACCCTTCCATTTTTATTGTAAATGTTGATAATGTCGGTTCAAACCAAATGCACCAAATCCGTCATAGCCTTCGGGGAAAGGCAGTAGTTTTGATGGGAAAAAATACAATGGTCAGGAGAGCATTAAAAATTTTGATTAGTGAAAATCCTCAATTTGAAAGGCTTTTACCTCATGTGAAAGGTAACATCGGATTTGTGTTTACTAAAGCGGATTTGAAGGAAACAAGAGATTTGATTTTGTCGAATAGGGTACGCACGTGGGAGATTAATTTATTAATTTTGAAGAAAAATTTAATTAATATTCTAACCAATCATGTATTTAAAGGTTCGAGCACCCGCTAAGGCTGGTGCCGTCGCTCCAATCGATGTATACGTTCCAGCAGGTAACACTGGTATGGAACCCGGAAAAACATCATTCTTTCAAGCCCTTGGGGTTCCCACTAAAATCGCTCGTGGTACAATTGAAATCATCAATGACGTACATTTGGTGAAGGCTGGTGGTAAAGTTGGTGCTTCTGAAGCTACATTATTGAACATGTTAAATATATCCCCATTCACTTATGGGTTGACGATCACACAAATTTACGATAATGGCAATTCATTCAGTCCTTCTGTTCTTGACGTTGAGGAATCTACTTTGATCGACCATCTATTAAGTGGTATCAAGACGATCGCTGCTATTTCATTGCAAATTGGATATCCTACCATTGCATCAGTCCCCCATTCACTTGTCAATGGGTTCAAGAAGTTATTGGCTATTTCTGTTACAACAGATTATACATTTGCCGCCTCTGAGAAGGTAATTAATTATTAATAATGAGATAATTTTATCTATAAACGAGTTTCTTTATTCGATTATTTCAGTATTTGCACACCCATGGTTATAATTATGTACACACTATTACATTCATTATATGCTAATCATGTTCATATTTTCATTACATCATTTTAGATTAAACAATATCTCGAAGATCCATCCGCTTTTGCCGTTGCGGCACCGGTCGCAACCACGGACACAAAAGAAGCTGCACCAGCAAAACAAGAAGAACCGGAAGAAGAATCAGACGAAGATATGGGATTAGATCTTTTCGGTTAACAAGTTATTTATATCGATTAAATTAGATTCTTTATGAATAGAATATGTGGATGTGAATCTAATTTTGTGAATAAGTTAAATACATGTAACATTTCGCTGGCATTTCTTGTCTTGAATTACATGTAATATAAAAGCTACATTTGTTTAATGTAGATTTACGCATTAAAAGTTCAAAAATAATTTTATTTTATTCTAACGACGTACAGTACTTACTGTGAAATTTCTACTCTTCAAAGTGTTATCTTTAATATTTATACTAGGACTAGAAGACTATTTTAAAATAGCAAAATTTATAGCAAAGTGTTAGAAAACTTTAGTGATTAAAGTTTTACTTGTGAAGATTGTGTTGACTGTAATCTGTGACGTTTCATGAGTTGCAATGGTTAGCAATTTATTCAAAAAAGTTTAAACTTTGAAGAACATGTTTCCAAGCTCTAAGCTTTTAAAAATGTTATTTCATAAATAAGACTTATATAAAGTTTAAATTGGTCATGGAGATAAAAAGAACTTGAACAATAAATAAGCATAACAATAGAAAAAAATAATTGATATTGCAGACATTAATCTTTTTTGTTACCAAATTTTAGCATCGTATTAAGGATGTCATTGGCTTCAATGATGATAAACGACAAAATTTTTATGAAAATGAATATAAATGACATGTTATTTCAAATTGATTGTCATTTATTATAAAAAAAAGTTATTCAAATAATAATAAAATGACAAGTTATAAAATTATTTTTATAAATAACAAATAAATAACAATAATGCAAATATTAAATTTTACTAACTTATTTAACATAATTTAGGTCTACTGATTTTTTTTACAACTTCTGATTGGTTATACTAATTATTTCATATTAGAGTATTTATATTATTAATTAATTTTATATTACTCTAATAGTAAGTAGTAGAGAAATTAATAAACCTCTATTGCTTTGCTTAAAGATTATTACCAAAAATACTCTGATTACTATATTCAAATCATGAAAGTATTTAGCAAAAATACCAATAACTTTTCAAAAAATGGTAATTCAATAAAAATATTTTTATAATTAGAAGTCATTCTTTTATTATGCCAGATTAACAATCCAAATTCTATACAGAATGTAATATTATTCAAAACAAAGAAAATTTTTTGAATGAAAAAAGAATCAAAGTAAAAAAATGTTTACAATTCTGAAACCAAATTCAATTATTATATTTACAGAATAATTAAAAATAACTTAACATAAAATTATAAAATTTATTTACAAAAAAATTATTTTAAAGTTCAAATATTTTTGAAGTAATAGTAATAATAAAATAAATATAACAATTTATTTTAACATTTTAAATATTTTTTGATAATTTAAATAAATTTTTATCTATTATAAACTTTGAATTATTGGTCTAATAAATGCTTTTTATAGTATTAAATAAAGTATATTTTTTAGAAATATTAACTTATTAATACAATATAAAAATAAAAAACAAATACTTAAAAAAGATAGATAATATAAACTTTTTTTGTAAATTGCAAAAACATTAAGTAAACAAAATAAAAAGTGATCCTAGTATAGTAGTTAAGTTGTTATCCTCCAAATGATAAATTTAAGATTCAAATTCTACTTACAATAAAATTTAAAAATTAATTTATATTACAGAAACTGTTTTCTGTTGATTAGTTGGTCTTATGCAGCTGTAATTCAAATACATCAAGTTAGGTTTTACTTATTATTGTGAGTTCAGAACATCTATATGAAGTGTAACATTACATATATATAAAGTAATATTAATAACCAGTATTGTATAAGATTTTGGTACAAACTCATAATAAAACTATTAGATACAGAAAACTAAGAAATTAAGAAAACAGAATCTTATTTGAAATTTCTAAATAAATAGTACAAACTTTTAACAATACTATTGAACTAATAGAAGCCTATAATATATCTTCAATAGAAATAAACAGACAAACTAAATAATAAAATATATAAAAAAACATATAACCAATTAGGTTGTTATAATTGTTAAAGAAAAAAGATACTAAGATATATTATATCAGATCATTTGAATTAAAAATTTGAAAAGTCTGTTAGTTTTTAGTTGCAGTTAGTAAGAAATAATGAAAAAATATTAAGAAGATAGATATTAAGATTTGGGTAAACTTTATAAGAATAAAAATAGTATAATATAGTAATTTAAAATTAAGCCTAATTATAAGTGTTAAGTAACTATAGCATATCATATAAAACTAGATTAGAAGGGTGTGGGTCCCATAGCTTAGTGGTTAAGCTCCCATGCCCCCACAGTCAAGGTCAACGGTTCAAGTCCGGCTGGAGGCAAAAACTAAAAGATTTTAGCCTCTGTAACCCAATAAGGAGCCAGTAATTGAAT